TGACCAATTATATAACTCAATTGCGAGTCTGACAATCTAAACCCTGCCCAGTAACTGTAGGTGTGTCCAACCCTAAAAATACACTAGCAGCCCCTATTTAAGTCTGTGCTGTACCCAAATCTGCACCCTCTCCTACATGTTCTCGACTCGTAGACATTAATCTGTGGCTCTGGAAGAAGATCATTACGGCTCATTACTTACCATTATATCCTCACCACTATCTACATCTAATTGTATCAAGTTTATATTAATACCCTCTCCTACATGTTCTCGACTCGTAGACCTTAATCTGTGGCTCTGGAAGAAGATCATTACGGCTCATTACTTACCATATATAGGAGTGGTGATAGATGTAGATTAACATAGTTCAAATATAATTTGTGATAGTTATTTTGTAAATAATCAACTTTTAGTTTGATTCACAGGATGAATTCTTTGGTCTTCGGTGGCGCTAGTTCTTTGACCACTCAGACCGCCGAAAGCTAAGTTCAGACATCGAACGCCAAGAAAGGTAAAGACACTCTGTTATAATAATGAAATTAGATAAAGATAGGAGGATGTGACGATTGGATGTCGCCCTGAGATGCGTAGAAGTCGACAATTGAGGGTCTCATAGAGACTCGGGCGGCGTAAAATCGTTACAATATTTATATACACGTTAATAGAATAATTTAAATAATCGACCTAAAATGGCATTTTAAGACAATAACAATCAATATCATTTTAGCATATACTTTATTTGTAAATGCATATAGAATATTTAATATTTATTTCTATACTTACGTGTACATTTACTGTATATACAGTTTGTTTACAACAATCCATAACAATTTTATTGTATATTATATTTAAAAATATTATAACCTTAATTAATTTAATTTGGGTTAGTTTTTTGATTTATATTTCATAAATTTTACTCGCTACTATTGTCTATAGGTTAGTGCATAAATCTTAATGTTTGAGTGTGTAACATAATTTAAAATGTTTTAATATTTAAGTGTGTTTATTGATCGAGATCTCAGGAGTAAATATTATCAAGAGTTTAAGTACCAGGGTAATATTTCTAATAGTTCATAAAATTATACTATTTATTCTTATTAACAAACTAAAATATACTAAAACTTTTATTAAATAATAACAGTAAACAATATGTATAATAAAATATACAAAATAGCATCGCATGTAATATGTTTTACGGGATGTTTGCTACAAATGCTGGAAATAAGTCACATATACTACTCACACAAAACCACCACAAATGTCATGTTTGACACGCAGTCTATACTACAGATGCCGGCGATTACTGTTTGTCTATATAAAGACGATATTGTCATTAATGAAATGAAACTAAATTACACTAACTTTCAAAACCTGTCAATCGGTGACCAATTGGACGCCATTGCGGAGGGAACTGATGGCAGGTCTATATGCTATGGTGCGGACAATACGGGGCAAGCACATTTATGCACAGAATTCACCAAGTACGTTCACCTAATTAGCAAGGGCGCTTATTGTTTGAGATTATTTAGCCTCTGGACCACCAACTATACGGGTCGTTATGGTACGGACAAGAGTAAAACATTGGTTAGCAGCAAGTATTATGCTAGTTTGGTCTTGTTTGATAAGGCTAATATCAAACATGGTCATATCGAGGTTCATTTTGGGGACCAAACCGAAAGAATATATCGGAATTTTAACAAAGAGAGCGCCATTGTTAACATAAACACCACAAATTTAGCCCAGTTCAAATATCGCAAGACCAGAATTGTACATGAGCATTACATCAAAAATAATCCGGGACAATGTTTTCCTTACGGGCAAACAACTAACTCGTGTCGGTACGAGTGTATCATTAAAACACATATCGATCGGTATTCAATATCACCCGACAATATCTTATACATGAGTATTGATAGACTGATTGATAGTAACAATCGTAGCATTTATTTCGGTGAAAACAACACTAGTGTTTGGGAGAAATGCGGGCGCCGGTGCGCTCGACAAGTAGAGTGCGTACAACACTATTATGGCGTCGATCACACGGAATCGTATTTAGATTTACCTCAATATCACAATAATTATGGACTTTTATTCTCGATACCGTCTGAGCCCGAAATGATTTACACTATTACCAGAAAAATGTCACTCGAAGAGTACATGTGCTTTTTGGGCAGTCTATTGGGTCTGTGGTTTGGCTACAATGCACTTATGCTGACCGAACATTTGCACCAATTATATAACAAATACACTAACAAACAAATAACAAATATTACTATTATTAATACTAATACTACAAATAATAATCAAATTAATAATACACTTTACACTCAGAATTATGATGCCATTTATAATCAAAATAGTAATATCAATATTAATAATGATAATAATCAAAACAATAACAGTATTTATATGATTGCCCGCTATATTAAATCAAAAAATAAACGATTACCAAAACAATTGTCCATGGTGGAATGATATTTGATTACAGTATTTGCTATTAAAACAATAATTACTCAATTATATTCTATTCTTTCATAAATTAAATGACCTTTATGTTTTTGAGAATATAACATAATTAAATTTAGCATTATTGCTATATTTTATATTTAAATAATAAATCTGAAATGTTAAAAATTAAAACGATACAACCAATCTTATCTTAGCACAATTTTAATTTATTTGTTCACTAAAATATCCAGAATACTTAACATGCACTAGTACAATTATTACATGCATTATTGTTTTAAAAGCTACCATGTTATTCTGTTTTAATAATATGTTGTGAAATATTAAAGTTAACATTTTTATATTTGAATTTTTTGTTTACTATTTCATATTAATTTATATTTTATCACGATTAATCATCGTAATTATTAAAATATTTGTTGCTTAATTATTAAATTAAAAATTGTATATTTTATTCATTTAAATTTACATTAAAATATTTTGATGTTTATCACCAAATATCTAATTTACATTGCTAACTAAATCAAATGATTTATAATATTTATGCTAATATTTAGTTATAATTAAATCAGTATGCTATTCATTTATATATTTAATGTTATATAAAGTTTAATGTTTAATATTAAAATAATAAAACTATCAATATATTGAAATTTGTATGCTAGGTACTAAGAACTTTCAATATAATTTCAGCATATTTATTAATTAATTCTGTAATACTGTATGTTAATCACTTGTGTCACTTAATCACTTAATCAATAATGTACTTTTATTTACGTGTTCGATTTGTTTTTTACATAAATAACCTAGAATTATATTTGCAATGTGAATAATATTTATTATATAAGATGACTTATAAATGATAATATTTCAATTATACGCTATTTTAATAAATTATTTGTATGTTATAAAATATAAGCATTAAATAAGCGTCAAATTTTGACGACAGGTTAGTACTGACACCTGATTGTGTGAATAAAGCAATAATTTCAATATTTTTTTTTGCAATAATAGTATAATTTTGTACATTATCTATACGATAAATTTATTATTATACATTTATAGTAAACAAATATGGTAAATAACATCTATAATAAAGTTTATAAAATTGCATCATACGTGATATGTTTTACGGGATGTCTAATACAAATGCTAAAAATAAGTTACATATACTACTCGCACAAAACAACTACTGATGTGAAGTTTGACTTGAATTCAATACTACGGGTGCCGACAATCACTGTATGTTTAAGAAAGTCCGATGTAATCGATCCCAAAATCACATTAAATTTCACTGATTTTGAAACCCTCTCAATCGGCGACCAGTTTAACGCTATTAATGAGCAAAATTACGGTCGATTTGCCTGTGTTACAATAGATGAGATTGGTAATGTACACTTGTGTTCAGAATTCACCGAGCTCGTTTATTTAATTAAAAAGCAAGGATTTTGTTTAATATTATTCAGTCGGTGGACAACAAACTATTCAGGTCAGTATAGTGATAATAGGAATCACTCAGTGACCACGAGCAAATTTTATGCGGCATTGGATTTGTTAAATAAAAAAAATTTGACAAGCGATTTTATCGAGGTACATTTGGGTGAACAACGGGAACGAATATACGAAAATTTTAACAAGGAGGACGCCATTATTACCTTAAACACTACAAATGTGGCACAGATTAAATATCGTAAAAGCAAAATTGTGCATCATGATTGGATCAAGCACAATCCAACCCGTTGTTTTGAGCGTGGCCAAACATATCGATCGTGTAAATACGAGTGTATTATTATAAAACATGTCGATCGGTATTCAACATCACCACAACATATATTATATATCAGTACCGATAGACTAATAGACAGCAATAATCGTAGCATTCATTTAACCGATAATTACAACACTAGTATTGTTAATGAATGCGAGCGCCGGTGCGCCCGATTTGTTGAGTGCGTACAACACTATTATAGCGTCGATCACACGGAATCGTATTCAAAAGCAAATTATAATAAACACGTTTTGTTATTTTCGGTACCGTCTGAGCCCGAAATGATATACACTATAACAAGAAAAATGTCTTTCGAAGAGTACATGTGCTTTTTGGGCAGTCTATTGGGCCTATGGTTTGGTTACAATGCACTTATGCTAACCGAACATTTGCATCAATTATACAACAAATATAATATTTTTAGTTTCATCACTAATACAATTAATATTCATAACGATAATAATATAATTAATCATAATGATGTTCATAATAATTACTATGGCAACAATACTAACAACAATCATATTTATTTTATCGCGCGCTTTATTAGATCGCATAATAAACGTTCATCACATCAAACAAGACCGATTAATTAACAATTAACTAGTTCTATAATGTAGCACAATATTAAACAGATTGTGAAACAATTAAAATGCCCTTTAAATTTTTATTATTAATAAAATCAGTGTTATCTAGCTGTTTAAACAACCGAAACTAAATGATCTAGATTAATTCTTTAAAATAAAACAAGGATCACACAGCGATTCTATACGTTAACCATATTCGGGTGATGTTTAAAGAATAGATTAGCATTATCTACACATTCAATAAGAGTCAATAGGATTAGCATTAATCTCATTGAGTTAGCATTGCCCATGTTATCCCTATGACATAGACTTAGCATTACTCATGTTAAAGTATAGCCATAGACTTAAGCTGTAATCCCATGTTCAATCCCATAGAGCTGCTGGGTTATATTATAAATTTATTATAAATTATATTTAAATACAAGACTATATGACAGAGAGAGAGAGAGAGAGAGAGAGAGAGACTGTGATAATTAAATTGTGTGCAAAAAGGTGTGAATTGAAACAAACATGCAACATTACGCATGCATAGTAAAAAACATAATTAAATTAATAAATGTAAAAATATACAAAATAAAAATACTCTTACACATTTAGATGCATACAATACTGTGATATATTCACACACAAAAACACATACACACAGTCTATTGAATAGTATAATTGACTGCAAAATGCATAACAAAATGAAAAAAACAAAATTGAAAAATACATGTAAGAAATTGCAGGAAATTTTCATTAAAAAATAAACAGCAAAACAATAGACAAAACAAAACACGGATTTAAAAAACCGACACAAAAACATATAAACGTAAATATTTGTCACGACATTTACAAAATGAAAATAATTATAAATACTTATAATTAATAGCGAAATAATAATAAATGATTTACAAAATTATATAAAACTTTTGTTTAGCGAGAGTTTGTCTCTCAGACGAGACACAAGTCGTCGAAATAGTCTTCAATACAGAGATATACAGCGAAACACATAGACAATGCATTACATGCCGAGTGAAAGTGCGGTTACAGTACAGTATGTATGTGTGCGGTAGGGGTCGGGTTGGGTAATATACATATGCATTATGTTTTCAAGCATTTATATTAATTATTAATTGAGTGAAAATCCATAGGCAAAGACACAGATCAGTTGAATAGACAGATGGGTAGACAATAGACAGACAACAAGTACCGGGATGTTTGATAAGACGCACAGTAATGGAAAGGTAGGCGAGAAAAACAGACAAAACAATAAATAAAAAATACATAACAAAATAAGTTATAAATTATAATAAAATAAAACAATTAAAAAACATTCATGAAATACAGGCAATGAAAACAAAGTGTTATAACTTTATTATAAAACACATTATCAAACTCCTAGTATATGTGATATATGTCGGGTGTGTTCAGAGAGAGAGAGAGAGCCCGGGGTAGGGGTCGGCTCGACAGGTCTGGCCATCGATCGATACATACCTTTACTATTATAACAATTATTAGAGTCGACGTTGATTTCCACGATATCTTTGGGTACGTCGACAAACTGATAGACCAATCGCTGTCCGTCCACTTTAGCGAGAATACCCCGTTGATAATAGTACCTAGATCATTGAGAAACATATTAATTAGCCACTGATATTAATTCATTAATAGTGGCACCCAGTAGGGGGCCCACCGGTGGGAAAAGTAACATGATACATACCTGAGTGCTCTACCCATAGTTTCGTAATTCATGTCCGGTTTGTTTTTATGTAAACCCCATAGACGTGAGACGGCCTTTGAATCAACCAATTTAAATATACCTAGATACAAAAACAAATTGAAAATGTATTATTATTACCATGAAGACGCAGAGGGGCCACTGTAGGGCCACTCTATTGTAATGGGCTAATGTAATGTCTATGGGTGCATGTAGGCAAAGCCTATTTTTGAGAAGTCCTGATTATTACCATAATGTTAATTTAATTAATATTCTCTATGCTATGTCGCACAGTAGGGTTAAAGGGGGTATGCGTGGGGGATAAAGGGGTAGGAATGTTTTTGCAATTCCCAAGTAGTGTGCACACATTACTATGTATATAAAAAACAACAAAAAAAGTATAAAAAATATTATTATGGTATAAACATGTTTATTATGCGCGCACTGGTAGGCAACCAGAAAAGTCATGGTAAGTCATATTCGGCTGGGTATAGGGACTGGTAGTCATATATACTGTACAATATATACATGGATATAACTACCAGACCCTCACTACCACTGTATGTATGAGTCGTGTCATTGGAAAGGGTTATTGGTTTTGGTAGGGGAGGGAAACCCAGAGGGAAAGGGACCGGGAAATTCCCGGTCGGTTTTTTGTGTGTTGTTTTTCACTCACACTCTCTATGAAGTTATTATGTATTTTCAATGTCAGGGAATTGAAATTGAAATGAAATGTGATTTTTTTCTTATTATTTTTGGTTGAATTGCAAAAGGGATTTATATTATCAGCAAAAACTTGTTTCTATACAAAATAAAGTCTCTCTCTCTCTCTCTCTCTCTCTCTCTCTCTCGGAGACAGAAAATAATTACTTGACACGACTGAACCCAATATTATGCTCTCTCTCTTATAAGGCTATCGTCAAAAGGCCGAGAGAGAGAGAGAGAGAGAGAGAGACTGGAAGAAAGTGATTGCGAAAAACGTTTGCATAATTAGCCAACAAAATAGTATTTCATGTATTTATTTATGACATAACATATCATTTTAATATATGAGAGCGTGAGGTGACTGTATTGAGTGGGGGCCGATTGATAATGAATTTCCACCAGGACAAATCGCACACTAATCACAAACATGTCACTAAAAATTACACCATGTCACCTTACGTTGGCGTATATATAGTATATGTGTGCACAGTATCAACAAGGGCATCGGGAGTGATCATGATTAATTAACAAAAAATATACTACATACCCTTTTCCCTATTTGTCCATTTAATAAAACGCGGACAATACTCCTTATCCTGAAGTAATTTCAATAAAAATTCCCACAAATACGTCGTCGAACCTATTAATTATACAACCAAGGTTAATACCAAACATAAAAATACACTAGGTACACGTAAATATCATCACAGTGAACAGGGTAAATTACCTTCGCGACTTTTCCTCTTGGTGGCTGTGGAACAATGGTTTGTGTTTCCATTGATATTCTCCAAGTTCTTGGGTTTGCGGCCCTTTTTGCGCTTAATTACGCCACCATTGNTAAATTACCTTCGCGACTTTTCCTCTTGGTGGCTGTGGAACAATGGTTTGTGTTTCCATTGATATTCTCCAAGTTCTTGGGTTTGCGGCCCTTTTTGCGCTTAATTACGCCACCATTGGTCAGACCGTTGGTGTGATAGGACAGGTCCTCAGCGCCGCCACCCATGCCTATGCCGGCGGTCACCACTGGTATATCTATACAGCACACAATAAAAACAACCATCATTAATAAACAAACCAAATACAAAACACATGTCTGGACTATAACTAGGATACGACAGTTGGTCACTCTATATGGCCGGGCGGGTCTGTGTGTATGTATACATACCTTTGTGATCTGGCGTTGAGTAATGAGCGCCATTAGGCGTATAGTAGGTAGCGTTGCCACCGGTCATCGCCGACTCCAGCTTAATCGGTCGACCGGTGCTAATCTGCGGCGACTGTTGGCCACTACTGGCGCCGCCATTGGTTAACGTGGCGGACAAGTGTGGGTGAGATGTGTGCAAATGTTGGGGCGGCTGTTGGCCAACACCACCAGTCGTTGTGCTCGGATTGGTTGGCGATTGACCGCCCGTTACGATCGATAGGGGTATGGTATGTGAACCCCCGCCCCCGCCGGGGCTGACCCCGGGTGTGGCGGTGGTTGTGGTGATGGCGTTAGCGTTGGGAGATTCAAGTGAATACAGACTGTGGTGATGGTTAGTATGGGTCGACTGTTGTTGTTGTTGTTGTTGGTGATGGTGATACTGGTGCTGGTGTTGTTGTTGATGGTGGTGGTTTTGTTGTTGTTGGTGGTGGTGGTGCTGGTTGTGGTGTAGGTCCTGGTGCTTACCAACGGGTGCGCCCGATGAACCATCTAGTTATATAGTAATGGGTATATGTTTAGTGCATTTGCTTTAAGTTTGTTGTTTTGTGAAAGAATATTCTGTTTGTTTTTGTATATACAGAATATTCTGTTGTTATTGAATGTATTAAATGCTATTATAAATATGCTATTAAATGCGATTATCATTAAGTATGGTACTTTTTGATAAGTAAACATGTTTGTTTGTTTGTCTGTTGTTGATAGTATATTTTCAGCTTGGTTAGAGTTAATTAAACTCTGGGTTATTTTTTGCCATCGGATTGCTATCAACAACTTTTTGGTACAAAACACTTAAAAAATAATAAAATATTTGTTTTTTTATTTGAGTGCAAAACTATTTGCAAACCTAAAGAGTTTTTGGTTTGGTTTATAAATAAGTGTTTATTTTTGTATAATTGAAAACATAAGTTATAACTCTTTTAAACTTCGATGTGTTTTGCTTACAAAACACTTATTTAATATCATATAATATATACTGAGAGAGAGAGAGAGAGATAGAGAGAGAGAGAGCACAGAGAGTAAAGCAACACAAAGAAAAATCCAACAAAATATGCGAAAAAATAATATAAAAAACTTTTAGAAAATAAAAAACAATTTTATTTTGAGGAGATAAAGGGGGAGAGAGAGTGCGAGAGAGTCAATAATCGGCTTCAATGTCAACATGATAATAAATATAGCATAAAAACACATCAGGAGAGAGAGAGAGAGAGAGAGAGAGAGAGAGAGAGAGTAAAGCAACACAAAGAAAAAGCCAACAAAATATGCGAAAAAATAATATAAAAAACTTTTAGAAAATAAAAAACAATTTTATTTTGAGGAGATAAAGGGGGAGAGAGAGTGCGAGAGAGTCAATAATCGGCTTCAATGTCAACATGATATAAACCCCGATGTGTTTTGCTTACGAAACACTTATTTAATATCATATGATATATACTGACGAGAGAGAGAGAGAGAGAGGGTAGAGATCTATGTTATTTGAGATGACAGAGAGATCCCCTTTATTTGAGAAAGTTAATTTATGATTTTGAATAATACTTTTGTTGTCATGATATCGTTTTACCCCCACATAAATCTATGTGAAAACCCTTTCATTTTATAATGAGTTTTGTTGAATAATATTGTATTATATTATAAACCCTCAGTTTTTGTATACATTTCATACATACATATATTTTTATACCTAAACCTTTTCGTAGAATTAAAGGCAATACTCTCACTCTCTCTCTCTCTCGCTCTCTCTCTCTCTCGCTCTCTCTCTCTCTCTCTCTCTCTCTCTCTCTCTCGCATGTATTTTACATACAAAGATCCAACAAAATATGCGAAAAAATAATATAAAAAACTTTTAGAAAATAAAAAACAATTTTATTTTGAGTCGCTCTCTCTCTCTCTCTCTCTCTCTCTCTCTCTCGCATGTATTTTACATACAAAGAGATATATTATGTTATTAATATTATTTAGGGGAAGTTTTCTCAGAAATGCGATTCATATCTTGCGAGAGAGAGAGAGAGAGAGAGAGAGAGAGAGAGAGAGAGCGACTAATATTGAAAAATAGTTTGAGTTTTAAACAAATACCTGCAAAAAAGCCCTGATTTATATCGTTATAAATTATAATTAATTAATATTTGCATTGAAAAACCTAACGCTTATACAAAACATATATTTGTTATTTGCCCTCTTGTTTAGTTCAGTTCAGGAAAATTGTTTTTATCATATTTAATTATCACTATATTGTCTAATCTGGGTAATTCATGTGAGTAGACATAAAAACAATAACAATTACATATAAAAATGCAATTATTATCTACGAAAACACATGATAAACAAGTTTTCCCTTAAAATTTTCCCGAAAAAACTCCATTAAAAACTACACAAAAACTTTTGTACATTTAAAATACATTAATTCCGGTAGGTGTCGCACCGGGCACTTACATAATTTACCCAAATGCTTTCTCTATTACATAGCATGCATACAGTTTGTCTGTACAGTATATACTAGGCATACCATAACCAGTGCCCTAACCCAAAACGCCTATCCCCTATCATTATCGCACATACAGTCAGTCTATCCTATGGTAAGTCAATAGGACTTCCGTTGTGTTTAATAGGAAAAAAATGATTGCATTTTTATAGTGTCTACCAGTCGTTTGCCATTAGTTTTTATTTCGGGGTAAATTTGAAAGTGATTTTATTTTTTCAGTGGTATTATTATGTTGTTTGAAAAATATATGCTAAAATTCCTATGAAAATGCATGATTTTTTTATGTTCAATGTATTACTAGGAATAAATAGTTTGTCGTTTTAATACATGTTTGTTAAAAAACATTAAACCAATGCTCCGGGTCTTTGAAAATGTTAATCAGGATTTAAGAGAGAGATAGTGATGAAGAGGGGAAGGGATGTGTCTATAAATTTATATACAAGCATAATAGTTATAGATTATATACATTATTTATAAATATTTTATAAATTCACCATAAATATTAATCTCCTAAACGCTATAAACACTGTATAAACATATAATTGCAATATTTTATACGATAAAAAATTAAAAAAGTACTAAAAATTGCTATCATATTCTCAAATAACCCAAAATATATACTCAACTTTCACTAAGACTATATAATATCCTGTAAAAGTCCCCCTTCCGTCCACAACACATACCAAGCTCTACCCCCAACGGCTACACCATATATAATATGCCATACATAACACGTTAGACAACATTGTTATATACCATAGCATGTAATACCCGGGAGTGTAGCGACCGATCGGCCCATCGATGGCTGTTATGTATTTGCATTGTTGTTGTTATTATTATTTATGTTACATCTATCACAAAAAAAAATTTGGTGGGGGAGAGAGTGGTAGACCTATTGACCAAATACTTAACGACCAAAACAACAACAAAACTTAAGTGGGGGGGGGGAATGGATGTGTCTATAAATTTATATACAAGCATAATAGTTATAGATTATATACATTATTTATAAATATTTCATAAATTCACCATAAATATTAATCTCCTAAACACTATAAACACTGTATAGACATATAATTGCAATATTTTATACGATAAAAAAATTAAAAAAGTACTAAAAATTGCTATCATATTCTCAAATAACCCAAAATATATACTCAACTTTCACTCAGACTATACATGTATAATATCCTGTGTCCCCCCTTCCGTCCACAACACATACCAAGCTCTACCCCAACGGCTACACCATAGATATAATATGCCATACATAACACGTTAGACAACATTGTTATATACCATAGCATGTAATACCCGGGAGTGTAGCGACCGATCGGCCCATCGATGGCTGCTATGTATTTGCATTGTTGTTGATATTATTATTTATGTTACATCTATCACAAAATTTTTTCCATAAGGAGCTTTTGTATGTCCAGGGGGTGGGTGGGTGTTGTATAGGGTTTGGTATTTAGGTCTGGGTTATGTATGGGTGGTGGGTGTCAGTAGGGGGTGGGGGAGAGAGTGGTAGACCTATTGACCAAATACTTAACGACCAAAACAACAACAAAACTTAAGTGAAAAATATATGGCATTTGAATAGAGATTTACACTTCGATAACATTACGAGTGAGTCGTCGAGAGAGAGAGAGAGAGAGAGAGAGAGAGAGAGAGCATTGTATTATGTTTTTTGTCACCGATGTCATTTGGGCACAAAAATGGGCAAGGGGCATTTCTCCAATGTTCACCGTGGCGAAAATAAACAAAACTATGTGCAAAATCTAAGACATCATGGTGTTTATCACCCTCGCGCACACACATCCGATGTGGGAGAGTGTGGGGGTAAACGATGTACACTTATTTTTTTGTTACTAGGTCAGTTTTGTTTACGGCATGTGCACTGTTACCCATCTACAATTGTGTAGGTGTTTATCCCTATCCCGATAGCGCCGGTGTTGTTGTTTATTATTATTATTGTTGACCCAAAAAAATATTTTTTCCTACATGTTAAAAATATGGGCACAAAAAATACTAAACGCATACATATCTAGATATTTATATACCATATGTTGGTCACAGAATATGCAATGAACAATGGTCAATTGGACACATTACCTAAAATACCCCGGTCTATATGTCACACTAGGTCAAATAATATCCGCGCCAAATCAATCATGACCATTTATTTAAAATGCACAATACTCTCGAGTGCTGCCTCTCTCAAAATGCATATTGTTAACATGCTAATTCATTATTTTCACCTTAAGGTTTTAAGATCAATTGATCCCCACCCCCTCAAGTTCCCTGATTATATCTATAAATTAACACATGGCTAATGTTATACCTATGGGCAATGTTGACAACGCTGGCAAGACAAACAAACAAATCAATATAAAAAAGTGCTAGGTTAAAAAAACACTTTCTTAATAATTAATACCAAACACGTTATGATAAATCGCATATACAGTACAATAGCTATAAAATAACTATCTAGATAACTTAAAAACAATACATACATGTCTGTCGCTGAGCACCGGGATAATAGTAGGCGCCGTACGGGCCGGGATGGTGGCCATTAGGACCTCCATTAACCATCTGTTGCTGTTGTTGCTGCTGCTCATCATTGGACGAGTAGTGGGAGTCCACGTCGGATACGCCGGAGTCGGCCGGCGACGGGGGCAGCGGTGATGTGGTAGTCGTGGCGCCGGCCGTAGTATTAGGGCCACCATTGGTGCCGCCATTACTGTTACCATTTGCGCCGCCCGTACGCTGAATAGAGTATATATTACCACCGGTTTGTTGTACGCCATTAACGGTCACGCCTGTAGTGCCCGCACCCGCGCGGCTTTGTTGCAGTATGTTTTGCAGTAGGGTTGTGGTGGGCCCGACCGTTGGCCCGGTATTCCCGCTACTGCTGGTGACCGTATTTCCACCCGTTTGACCGCCATTTGTCACGTGATTGTTGTTGTGGTGGGGGTTGTGGTGCGGATGGTGTTGTTGTGTGTGGTGTGTGTTTTGGTTGTGGTGATGGTGCGAATGGTGGTGGCCATTGGGCTGGCCGGTTGGTGGCGGTGCACCAGGTTCGCACCCGTCAACTAGATTGATTATAAAAGTAATATGCTTGGTTAGTTATGTTTGATTTTTTAAATTTATTTAATTAGCTTATAGTTTAAATAAGTAATAATTTTATGCTAGGATATTTTTTAAAATATACTGTGTTAATAATGTAACTATTGTTATTACTACATAGATGCTAATATGGCTCAAATAGACCATGGTTAATAAATTGTTTGATCAAAAACTATTGCCTTTTGTTCGCCATTTCCTCTCAGAAAAGGTTTTGCAAATAAAAGTTTTTTATATAAGATTTGAAACCAATTTTTTTGGTTATATTATTGTTTCGGTGTTTGAGATCAAAATTTTTCTTCACATAATATATAATGAAAAACCATTTCTCGAGTGAAACTGAATGGGAAATCAGATTTGAAACCGGATTTTCAAGTTTTTTGTAAATTTTATTGTCTATAGATTTCCTTCCCTTTAATATAAAATATAATACAGACATTGGAAAAAGGTGCATGGACACTTTTTTCCAGCACACTCTATCATGATTATCTGAGCCATGCATATTCACCCCGGATAATAATATATTTAAAACTTTTATGCTATTATTAACCGACACATATCGACACCGACATAAAAAATCTCAATTCACATATTTATTATACCAAACCGGTATAAATATATATAACAAACACACCATGGACAGATACACCAGTCCCCCACAATTAAACACATACCCCCTTATTCATTGATCCACACAATAACCCACTATTACCCGGAATATTCAAACATTAAACTTTTTTCTAGACATATAAATCATACATTTATATCATGTTGAAAAAAGTGCACTTAATTTCCATGTCTACCCCAAACGCGATTGTGTCTATAGTAATGGGGTTCACAATAAAGGGGTTCACATCAAGTAATAGCACCAGTATGTGTAAGTAGGTTACCGGTGATGATCGGGGCCATTTAATACCCATATAATACACTCACATATAGTGTTAGGGTCCATACATATGGTATTAAAGGGCCCCCATTATCACGAGGACTACCCCATTTACAAAAACCACCACAGTACTTTACATTTAACAATAAAAAACCCCTTCAAGATCAGTTATTCACAGGCAAACAAAGTACCCCATCAATACACAAACACAAAAAAACCATGATAATAGATAGTCCCGTACACTATCCAACATACTTTTGGATATAATACATCTCTCTCCCTACACCGTTTAAATTTATCCTGGGTTAAAAGAGTTTTTAACCATGAAAAGACTATTCGCACCGTAAGCTTCCCAAATGAGTTGTATGGGGACAGTTGGCGTAGAGGGGGAGGGGAGGGGACAGGGAATATATAGACCAAATGGGGGTGCGATTCGGGAAATAGTTTCTGTCATAGTATGTATACATTATACTATACCCCCTCTCATAACCCCCTTCTCTCTTGTCATTGAGTATTGAAATATACAAAAAGTTTTTTTTGCCATTCAATAAGTTTCTAAGTGTAATAATCGGTAGTAACGGTGCGATTGGAGGGGAAACACCATTGAAAAGCTCCATAACCATCATCATCGATGTCATCCCACCATCAGTCACATACCCTCCTGTGTACAGTGAGGGAACTTATATATGACTGGACTTTCTATGATAATTTTAAAAATTCTATAATAGTTAGAGACTTAAAAATATAACCAAAATATAGATTATTTATTAAGCTTTGAGAATATATGTAGTTTATTTGTAAATAATTTGTCTAAGATCTATTATCCCGTTCCGGAGTGAATGACTACATCAGCTACTTTAACAGCACTTTATGCTGTAGTTCTATGGGAAAAACAGGGAAATATGTATACATTTACCATTAATAATAAAATTTTGTATAATGTCTAAATTAAACTGTAAAAGTAAATGAAAATGAAAACAAATTAAGATTTATATTTAAACATATGTTTATAATCATTTAACAACGATATTAAAAATGTTTGGTCTCTGGATCAGCTCCAAGAGATTTACCGAAAATCAACTAATTTTTCGGTAAAAATGGCACAAAAACGGACAGATTGTTAGTCATTCACTGAAATCAAATATATTTATTGATAATACGCCTTAAATAATAGTATTTATATTTTTAAAATTATTTTAATAGCATATATGTCGTTTTAACCACGATTTAATTAATATATTTGTAAACATTTTTACGGTACTGGAAATATGTTTAGAGGGGAGGGACACGGATCTCCTCAAAAAGACAATTAAATAAATTATTTCATATTCATATTATATGTCATTTTAGAGATTAATAAATAATCTATATTTTGGTTATGTTTTTAATTCGATATCTCTTATAGAATTTTTTTAATTAACATGGAAAGTCCAGTCATATATAAGTTTTGTTACTGTATATGTATTATATGTACAATATATACAGTACATCCCTATATCCCTTGACATACATGCGTTAATAATGGCCAGAGAGTGAGTGCGAGAGAGAGAGAGAGAGAGAGAGAGAGAGCGCAGAAATTTTTTGTGGGCCACGATTCGGAAGTAAAACTCCTTGTGTTGTATATATACAGTGCACATAGATTTTAGGGGACAATTGGTGAGCACCGGTAGGTTTTGGGCACCAGTTTTTGTATAGTAATAGTAGTAGTTATGTGGGAGAGAGTGAGAGTATTGAGGGGACCGGTAGGGACAGGGAAGATTTTAGGGGACAATTGGTGAGCACCGGTAGGTTTTGGGCACCAGTTTTTGTATAGTAATAGTAGTAGTTATGTGGGAGAGAGTGAGAGTATTGAGGGGACCGGTAGGGACAGGGAAGAGAGAGAGAGAGAGAGAGAGAGAGAGAGGCAGTGGTTTTTGTATTATTAAAACAGCTATATGTGTGCAAAAATGCCTCGCAATTCAGACATCACATACACATTGTATTAACTGTAGTGGAGATGATCGGGGGTGAAATGGGAGAGAGGGGGTGATGGACACGGAGGGTAGTGAGGATATACTGTGTGTGTGGGGGCACAGAGACCTACATTTTCACCATCATCTTTGACAGTGGAGAGAGAGAGCACAGGAAAAAAGAGAAAGTTTTTGTATGTCGCGGGAGAGGGGGCTGTAATAACCGGGGGGTCGGGAGTGAGTACGAGTACGAGAGAGACATACATTTTTAGGCGCAGATGTTTTCGCTGCCGATTGATATACCAGTGCTCTAATGAGATCTTACAGTTGGCTCTCTCTCTCTCTCTCTCTCTCCAAACCATTTAATATGTGTCTGAACTGTAAGTGCGAGAGAGTAAGGAGGAAAACGGAGCAGATATTACAGTTAACATAGATTTTTGCCAATCTCTCTCTCTCTCTCTCTCTCTCTCTCTCATCGTCCCACTGACCTCGAAAAAACACTGACGAGAGAGAGAGAGAGAGAGAGACTGAGTTAACGGTGCGAAATATGTGGAGTAAGTATATGTCTTGGAGTGTGAGAGGGAGGGGAGAGAGGGAGAGATAGAGGGAAACACACATAATATTTTACAATCAAGAGTTGTCACCAAAACAAATAATTATTCACAAACCGTTTCATAAATATGGTTGTAATGGCTATATATCTGGCACTTTAGGACTGACCAGACATACAGTACATACTATCCAAAGCTATCCAAAACAATGTACACTAAATTTTTACATATATTATTTAATTTTCCATTGATTTCAATGGGTTTTTAAATACAAAGTAGTATTTTAAACACAAGTGGCAAACATTACGTATAAAGTAAACTAATTTGTGTCACAGATTTTTATTTTGTTTTCGTTTCTACATAAATAAAAATGGTTATTTTGTTTTATATGCTCTCTCTCTCTCTCTCTCTCTGGATCAGCTCCAAGAGATTTACCGAAAATCAACTAATTTTTCGGTAAAAATGGCACAAAAACGGACAGATTGTTAGTCATTCACTGAAATCAAATATATTTATTGATAATACGCCTTAAATATTCTCTCTCTCTCTCTCTCTCTCTCTCCATTCACTTTGCATTCAATGTTAGGTCACATATAAAATAAATGGTAAATTGGTTTTTTTCTATTTTAGTTTTGTTTAGTATTTTACTTTTTGTTTGCTATGTGTTACACATTTTTTGCGTGTGTACTTAATATATACATACAGTTATACAATCTATGAAAGTATGTATACATACATAGTTTGAAATATATTTATTTCAGTAGTTTTCACCCAAAATCCCAGTTTATAAACTCATTGGCAGACAATATACTATGTCTTTGTATTAAATATGTGTTACAATTTGTTAATTGCTATTCAATTATTATTATTATTATTGATATATTTAATGTACATAGATACATTCATGAAATCTATGACACTTATATATAATATATACCATTCATATATTGTATATTTAGTGTATATCTCTCTCCCATTCTCTCTCCCATTCTCTCTCACATACTCTCTCTAAACTGAATGTCACCACAAAATTCATGCCAATTATTATTGTTATATAAAACTAGGAAATGTGTTATGTATATAAATATCCCACACAAATACATACACACATGTATTAATATGTATATAAATATATTAGTAGAGTGAGCAAGTGATATAAATATGGTAATTATACATGAACAAAAATCTAGTCCTAGAAATTTTTCTGGGCTAACAATAAAAATAACATAATATTTTCAACCATATTGTTATTACTATTATTATTACTGTTATTGTTATTACAATTATGATTATAATATGTATTCATTAATACGAATCCCTATTAATCTAATTCACATTAGCATTAAAAACGCTATCGTGTAATAATTACCACATTTAATTATATCAATGGCTATTTATAAAGTTTTATATACAGTGTATTTAATAAATACAATGTAGTTATTATATTAAATACATACAAGGATGTACTGTATATACAGACATCGATCTAGATAAGTGGAATATTATACATATGGTAAAAATTAAACAAGATTGATATTGAATTATTTATAAGGCTATGTATTAAGAATTATTTATACATATTTAAACTATAGAAAATTATAGAAAAAATATTCTAGCTAGCTCGCATGAATACCAATCATATATCATATTATTTACGTTATAAAATGCATATAATATATCTCTAATAGTGATTAATACCATCATTAAAATATATACGTAAACAATTTATACACATTATAAATTACTAGTAAAAAATACACCATGATCATAATGCAGCATGTTAACCTTAACCTCGAAATGTTTAAAACTACCATTTTCAATACCAAGTTATAATATATACGATAATAATTACCTTATTATTATATAAAGCGATAATTGAAGACAAAATATTTTTTATTCAAACAATAAAACTAAAAAAATCTTTTGATAATTATTGTATAAATTGTATATAAAATTCACTTGAATTACATATAATATAATCTATACATTGATAGATACTATGTATGTATACATTGTATAAGTATTGAATTTATATATGGAAAGAGAAGGTCATATATAATGGCATTAATATATATGTGAATCTATAGAGGATATATAAAAATGAAATTACTTTCATTCTCACTAAATACATGGTAGAAACGATAATAAAATCTATTCTATGTTCAAATAGTGTACTGTATATTACAGTATGAATAGTGTATTTCTGTGAATTAACACACAAAAAACTGATCATATTCTTTGATATGTCTGCAAAATTTATATATATATTTGGCTGTATATATACAGTGCTATTCTTAAATACCAAGCGTTCAATAGAGAGATAGTGTATATAACACACTGTATATC